ATCCACCTAGTCCTCGGTTTAGGCTTCCTACACTTTAGAAGCATACCTTAGGTGAGAGTCCATCCACTTAGTCCTCAGTGTAGACCTCTTAGACTTTAGGTGTACACCCTAGGTGAGAGCCCATTCACCTAATTCTCAGCACAAACTTCCTAGATTTTAGGACCACACCCTAGGTGAGAGTCCATCTACCTAATTCCCAGCATAGGCTTCCTAGATTTTAGGAGCACACCCTAGGTGAGCGTTCATCCACCTAATTTTCAAATAAATAATGAAACATGATACTTGACCCTGATTCACAAACTGATCAAGACACTAGACACTAGGATGCACCGAGACGTAGTTCATACTTTCTTAATTAAGTCAATAGTGATATCCTCATAATGACTTAACCTACAATAAAACCCAGTGCATCGGGATTTGAGCTTGGATAATATACTTAAATCCTCCTTGCAATTGGAAAAATTTGTTAATGCCACATATGGATGATCAGACTAGGATGAGTCTAGAGTCTAAGTGGAGGGCGATGACGACATTGTTTATGTGTGCTTAAACGAGGGATACGAAGTGAAATTATTAGAATAATATCTCTTACCTCAAGGATCTTCAATGAGGGAGAGGAAAGGATCCATGATACTATTCGCCGACTCTTGATGAGATCGTTGCCCCCGACACTCTCAGGTTGTCAGTAGTCCTAACACGATTAAAGTGACTAGCCTGTGGACTGTACAATTTTACAATAATATTTACAAAAATAAAATAAAAATTTCTTTTGCATGATTAAAAGAACTCTGCATAAAAAAGACTTAAACAACAGCTTTTGCATGAAAATCAAATAATTTTTCTATAAAAAGTAATAAAAGTCTATGGTTAGTCATTTGGATTGAGGTTAAGAACTACCTCCTGTAGATTGTCAAGTTGACAACTCTTATTCAAGGTTGACAAGCACACAACCCAGCTCTGATCCCCCACTTTTACCAAGGTCTTATATACCCAATCCTGATCTTTCATATGTGGTTACATGTTTCTTTTGCTTGTGATTTCTACTACTCGTTCTTATGACTTTCATGTTGGATTTTCTCGTCTTGTTTAATTTTCTTGCAAATTTATTTAAATCTGCTGCAAATCATATTATGCTTGCAACATTAATAACGCAACAGTAGCAGATGCCCAGGTACGCTTTTACAGTTTATCTACAACATTTTAACTTTACTGCATTTTATATTTCAAGTACATTTTTATTTATCTGCGATTTGCTTATTCAGCATGCAAAATCAAAATCGAAACAAAACAAAATCAAATTTTGACACCAAAACTGTGAAACATAAACTACAATCTTCAAACACTTATACCTGAAGCCGTCGTGACGACAGGAGCTTGGAGCCAACTTTGTGGGTAGAACTTTGTGAGCAGCACGACTAGCTTGGATCGAGCGACAAGAGAATCTTCTTCGGCATTATCTCTTCCTAGCATAATAACAACCCACAGGACTTCGAAGTAGCTTAGCTCGCCTAGCGCGACGTAAATCCTCACATTCCCTCTTTAGGCACCTGTGCAACAATATTGTGCAGTGTAAGTCCTAATTCGTTTTAAGTTCTGAGGTTGTTGTTTGTTACAACGTAAACCTTCTTATTTCTGCGGGCTATTTGCATAATCGGATATTATGCAAATATAAGGCCCAAATAATAAAACTATAAAACTAGCAGGGTCAAACACTTAATTAACATCGTCTCCAAAAATGTGGCCACACTGTAGGATAGTCTGGGAAGTCACCGAGATTTACCTCGGATCAGTGGCATCCCCTCCTCTCTCCTTTCTTTGGACTACTGAAAATAAGTGTTTCGTATTGAGTCATTTCCACTTGATTTTCCTCATCATACCGTGAAAACCTATACCTTGAAATCTATAAGACTAGAACCACTGATCATTATCGAGAGTTTTCTCAAGTGACCTCAGTCATTTGAGATGTAATTAACTATAGGGGCTTGCCTCTATAGGAACTTGGAACCTAGGTAAAATAAACCCTATTTAATTTTTGTATTAAATAGGGGAACTTGTCGGTCATACATAAAATGTTCGCAGACCAAACGGATGCCACAAATCTCTTAGTTTGCAGGATTGAGTTTATCGCTGAAATCTACATTTATCTTTCGGGAGAGTGTAGTATTCGCGGTATCGGACACGATTATGCAAACTATTGGAAAAATGAGATCTATTTGGTCTCATTTTTTAAAAATTAAAACATACTACTTTCAAAACTCAAACTATAAATATCTTTTATACTTAAATTAAATCTCAAAAAAAAATTATTTTAATATCCATATTTTCAAATAAATCTATCGAAAAAGTTGACCGACACTTAGTAATAATATTATTGATAATTTTACTATCAACACATTTGGAGAATTGAGGTAGGTAATAGGTTTAGCAAGGTGTATGGGTAACCAAGCCATAGTTTTTCAATTAATAAAATTTGAAGTTTTGGTAGAGCTCTGCCATGCTAGGTAGCTTTTGTGGTTGCTATTGACATTCTACCTTATGCATTAAGCTTTCTCATTTTATGTTTTGCATTAAGCTTTCTCATGTTCAATGAACTTTTAATAGGTTTAAAGGTAGCAATAAATTGTAACACCTAAAAGACAACTATAAAATATATGTATTAGGTATGTTTGTGTTTGCTTTATACAACAAGAACAACAACAACAAGAAAACCTTTATTTCACTAAACGGGGTTGCCTACATGAATCCTTTTTCTCTATTGCATCGTATTTAATGTCATATTTTCATTTAGTTCTAATAAATTAAGATTTTTTTCTATGCAGTATGCGTATGTCTTCCTAGGTATACCACTGCCTTTCTCAACATAAGTCGAATCTAAAATATCTACACTTCTAATCGGATCATCAAATGGTCGACGTTTAATGTGACCAAACCATCTAAGATGACTCTCTCTGTCCGTCACTAGAGCTACACCAACCCTATCACAGATATCACTGCCTTTCTCAGCTTAAGTCAAATCTAAAATATCTACGCTTCTAATCGGATCAACAGATGGTCAACGTTTAATGTGACCAAACCATCTAAGATGACTCTCTCTGTCCGTTACTAGAGCTACACCAACCCTATCACAAGTATATTCATTTTGCATTTCGTCTCTAAGTGTAAAACCACTCATCAACCTAATCATTCTCATCTCGACAACTTCTCATCTCGACAACTCATCTCGACAACACTGAACTTAGTTTTGTGCTTCTCTTTTAAAGGTCAACATTCAACGCCATAGAGCATTATAGGTCAAAATTCAACGCCATAGGCCTGAAACATTCCTCCACTTCAAACAACCAACTTGAATTCTACTAATAACATCCCCATCAATATCACCATCACTTTGAACAATAGACTCGTTATATCTAAAGCTATTAATGTCATGATTTTTTTGACAAGTTTTACGTTGGTTGTCATATACTTAACGCAACCCTTGACTTTTCACATCCGGGCTTGGGATCGGCAATGACAATGTTTGCTTTATGAATTAATAAAATGTAAAGATATTTATCACGATTCCCTTGTCCTTGTCATAGTTGTCGCCATCAAGAATCAAGAGAATCGAGGAACTTTAATATGTTTTTAATAAATATGTTATCACGAATCTCGAGGATAATCCCACGGCCAGCGGAGGAAGACAACCTGACATCGTGGGAACCTGCCTGGGACAATCCGATATCCCATGCCTAGTCGACCAGCTCCCATAGACCGGGAGAAAAGAGTCTCAGATGGATTGAATACAACTACCTTTTTAAAAATCAACCTGTCGGCACAAGTTCACACAGATAAATATGACCTTTTTTTCTAGTTTAGCCGGTTGAGCGAAGCGAATCACCCGAACACGAAATAGTTGGTTGGAGCTTTCTGCCCGATCTGTACAGGGATTAACTCTTAACAAATAATCAAATCGACAGTTTACACTAGGCCCCCCCAGCAAACGGCCACCCGACCTAAATGAAGCCAAGCAGGAGGCTGCCATGGGCACCGACTTTGTTCGGCCCAACATCTTCTTAGGGACCTGGACTTGTCCGGCCAGAAGCCTTTCAGGGTCCTTACCTCATCCGATCAGTATACTTGGAGATTCCCGACCCAATATTCATGTATCGACTAAAATACCCCGGTCGTATCTATGTATATTAAGGGTACAACATGTAATTATACTCCCCCCATTCCTATAAATAGGGGTGCATTTCATGAATAAATGTTACACTATATTTACTGCTTTATACTATGCTTTTGCTCTGCTTTCTCTCTCTCTCCTTAGCACCGTATTCCTTAGGCTTGTCTTCCAGATAATTTTGGATTCAATAGTAAGGGATCAAATAGGAAATTGATCCATGTTACTGTAGCTGCGTATCATGACGGTACGCTCCTGCGTCAGAGATCCACCACTTGTTCCTCATAAAAGAAAGATGGTACAATACTTAGAGAAAATTAGAGAATAAAATCTCCATATACACAAAACACAAGCAAAATCTGCAAAAAACAGGAAAATAATAAGATATAATTAGCTCCCCCTCATAAATAACCCAAATTCTAATTCAAAAATAAAAGTAAAAAAACAAAGCCGCCTGCGGGAAATTTCCCGTTGCAGATCTTATTGAACAAGATCACCCATATACAGAATTGCAGAATCCCCTGTAACCAGTATAGCTCCCGCGTCAATGATATTGAAGCGTTAGTTGGCTTTCAGCAAGGGCCAAATAATCTTTTTTTATCTTATATGCATATGCTTTTATTAATTGCTATAATAAGCTTGGTAGTATGTAGAACCTGCCGTCATTTATTTCGGTATTGAATATGCAAACTACATTCAAGTCTTTTTATTATAATAAGAAACATCTTGAAGTTTTTGTTCCTTTAGAGTCTAATATCTTCGTTCTACTATTTTGTCTTTCAGTTTTGGGGTTGTTTCTCAATCTCCTTTTTCCATGTTCAATTTCTTTTGGTTTTTTCAGGCAAAACAGAATATGCTTATGTTCGAGTGAGAGAATATGCACGAAGTGCTTTGGAGGTTTGCTGCTGCATTCTCTTTGTTTATATAAACTGTTGTTATTTTATAACCTTACAAAAATATTGGGTGTTTCTGGCAAGCTAGTATATTATTCGTGTACTTGCATATTTGCAATGTGATGCAACTTGTTGATTCATCCTCATTCTCATTAGCAGCACTATTATGTATGCCGTATATGAATACAGACCGCATCAGTGATGAATGTAAGATGATGAAACTATGCTGAAATAAACAGGTGAAGTGCCGATGAAAAAGGTTACCGATAGCTAGCCTGAATTATAGGCTTAGATTTATAAACATGGATGGAGATTAAGGAAAAAAAATTGAAGATGGATTCATAGTGCTAGCTAAACAGGTTAGTTGCACGCAATTTTTTGACAACGGCTTACTATTATCAGAGATTTGTTATGCTGTTTCAAAAATATGTTTCATTGCCATCTGACTGAGGTGTCACAAAAACTTAATGATGAGCTAGATAATGGCTTGACAAAGAGTCACAAAGTGCAATATAACTATTTAAAGATGTTCTAAAGGACATGAATTTGGCAAAATAGCTACACTATGTTGACCTCATTTTCAGTGAGGTTTTAGTTTCTTCCTCCTACAACCTAGGATCTAGCTTAAGGAGTTTTATTTTGACCATCCTAGCAGACTAGTAATGGAGCCCACCTCACATAGAATTTCAAACCACTTCTTGACCTATTTTTGTGTAAACCTCACGTGAGGGGTCCCAAGCACTCAACTTTTAGTTGTAAGGGATAAGGGCCAACACGCGCAAGCACCGCAGTTCATACATTCAATGCACATAAACATTACAAGTCATGTCTCTAAGGGTTACATACATCATACCACTAAAGTCAATTTTCAAAAGGATCCGTCGCAAGCTAAAATCCAAAGAAAACCAAAGTTGACACACTTTCGGCCTGATCGTTGGCAAACTTGTCCAGACGATCCCGAATGACGAAACAGACTGCCCGATCACATTCAGTACGTCAATTTCAGCTAGGAAGGACACCCATATCGCTATAGTACTGCGCGCGGGCGAACGACACGAAAATCGTTGAACATGAATATTTAATTAAAGGGAGGCGAGTTCAAGCTCAACCCAGGTTCATTTCAGGCTGGACACGGGCTGAGTACGGGCTAAATGATTTCGAATTCGAAGTTCAAATTTCAAACAAACCATTTAATCTCACCTTAATTGAATATGGTTAGGTGTTATCTTTTTACAATTGAACCGGCTGTGTGAAACAAAACCATTTATTTCCCTACCAGACTTAGCATAACGTAACTTTTGGAATTCCAGGGATACAAATTCCGCTCAGCTCCTTCTTCCTTGCAATTGGCCTCTCCTCTTCGCCTCTTCCGCTCGAGACTCACCTGCTCGCCTCCTCTCCTTCCTGCACACAAGCCCTTGGCTCCTCCCCGCGCCAAAGACCCCCGCTTGCCTCCTCTCTTCCTTGTGCCAAACACCAGCTCGCAACAACAGCTCGCCCCCTCTCTTCCCCGAGCCAAACAACCGCTCGCTCGTCTCACGTCTCTCGGCTCACCTCCCTTGATAGAAGCCCTAGCCGACCTCCTCCTCCTCGCCAGCGACTGCGTCCGTCTATCTCCTTCCCCATTTCTTCTCATTCCTTGTTGTGCTCTTGCTGTGCCGAAGAAAAGTGAGGCTCAGGTATCTTCTTCCAGCTATTGTATTATATGGTTATCAAATTGTTTATATAAATTGGAAATGGAATCCGCTTCCCTAGCCATCCTATCTTGATCAATCAGACTCATTAGTCTCTCTTCCCTCCCCTTTAGTTTCCCCATCTCTCGTATAGCGTTGATGTATTTCTATTGATAACATTGGGTTCAACATGTATTACATAAAATCATGGAAGTGAACTCCAAGAATATGAGAACCTCGTTCTTATTTTTTTCTAGTTTCATTCATTTAAGGGGCTGCGTGGGCTTGACCTACAATTTCATGAAGGAAATAGGATGATTTTCTTGTAGGATCTTGTCAAATTGTTACAAGGCATGTTTCGTTTTCATACGGATTTCCTCCCTCTGAATATAAAATTCTCAGGCAATACATTAAGCATAGGGAGGTGGAAGGAATATCAGTCGAAATAAGGATATGCTTTTTTTTTTGTTGTTGTTGCAATGCTACGAAATGACTGAATACATCTTAGGCAAATGTTTAGCATTCTAATAGTTTTAGGCAAGTAAATGTTCATATAGATGGAAGTGGTACTGGCTTTCATGCATCATGCATTCTAGAGTATATAGGTCCTATCTTTGAATTGATTATGAAATATATCTATGCGGGGGAAATTTACGTACTGACTTGCATACAAAAGAATAATAATATCTTGCGTTGGTGATTTCTTTGATCCGCGATGCAAGATT